TTGAATACTGCCATTTAATATGTCAAATTTGTTTAAATAATCTCCCAGATTTGAACTAGAAGATCTACGTTTTCTCTTGTATTCATTAGCACTAGCAAGACGAGTTTGCTTTTCAATCACAGTTTCTTGTGCTCGTTTCTTATTTCGATATTTTTTATCATTTTCAATTCTAGTTTGCCTTTCAGTTTGACTTTCAACAGCTTGTTTTGCTTTTTTATAGTCTCTCATATTTTCAAGTCTAGTTTGTTTTTCAGTTTCATTTTCTACTGCTCGTTTCATTTTCCTATACTTTCTGTCACTTTCCAGTGTCACATGTTTCTTTCCACTTTGGCTCGATGTAGGTGCATCTATTTGTGTTATATTGAAATTTGTTTCCTGAACAGCTAGTCCTTTCACTTCAAAAGGTGTTTCATTGCCTCGAGGTATAGTACTCTGGAAATAAATTACCAGGTCTTCTATACTTTCAACAGATGCTAATATGCATTTGCCTAAAGGGTGTGGCATGCCATATAAATCTCTTGAATGAGAATCAAATATTTTAAAGGTTCCGTCAGAAGTCTTAAAAATTGCAACAGTATTGTAATTAATAGTCAACAGGCAATATTGAAAGTTCAATTGAGTCACTCCAAACAGATTATTGAAAGCATTCTCCAAAGAATAATAAGGTAGATTAGTAGTTGTCATGAATATGTCACCTGCAAATGGTCACCAAATTGTAAATGATAGATGTGATAAAAAACTGAGACCATTTCTGGCACATCAGTTAAAAGTAAATAGCTTTTCTTAACAGAATTGCTTATAAAAGAATAAAGGTTATTTCCAGTACACAATATATCATTCAATAATTCGGAATCCCATCCATTAACATTTGTAATATGATCATATATTATTGCAGTCAAGGACATGGCTAAACATTGTTTACCAGCATTTTGTCGAAATTTTTTGGCATTGCCTTGGCTAAAATCAGCACAAATTGTTTTAGTTGGGTCAACCACATCATATATTGTCGGCCCAGGGTTTTCTTCAACATCATTTGCCATTCTCAACAACAGTGGAATATACACAGTGTAACCTGTTATTTGAGTGAATGACTCTATCACTTGGGTAAAACGCCGCACATATATGTTCAAATAACATATTCGAACAAACATTGCTAATACAATAATAGTCATAACCAACTGAAATAACATCAATATTATGTGACTAATGTCGCCGAACACAAAACTCAAGTACTTGTTTATTCGTATACAATTGTGTGCTCCAATTCGGGCACGATGTTGCTCAATTGTTATTCCCATTATAGTATACCAATGCTATTATCAATATTTTAAACAAACAAACAAACAATCTTACCTCTATACGATGTTGTATGTACGTTGCACGACCAGTACGGCTTCTATGAATTATGTGACTGTCAAATGTCAACAACAACAGGTTTATATATAAATTTGTCAACAGCCACAAATTTATATCTCTTTGAATTTGTTCGAGGTATGGATTGTTCGCACAAATTAAAGTGCTGTTTATGTTTTTAGCAAGCAACAATGACTTGGCTTGGTCTAATATAAACGAACACAATGCTTCGTTTGATTTTATTTCACAATTTGAGAGGAACACAGTGGATCCTGCAGTGGGAATTATCGATAAACAACTCCCACTTGTATGTACCTGAAAGTCAAAGGAAACAAAAATCAATATTTTAACACGAAAAATCCCGGTTACACGACGCCAAAAACGCAGCAAAATAAAATATTCATCTCACCTTGATATATATTCTAAGATACACGATGTATCTGTCTGAACAGCCAGATAAATTACTGAAAATAAACGTTGTCCGCGATATTTAATAGCAAAACGAGGATCATGTATACTTTTGCGTCACGAGTGGTTCTGAGTCATATCATGCATGGTCATATATAATTCCATACCCCATTTTCATATTCGAGACATCTTCGGACAATTAGATCACTTCAGTTGTTTTCCGTCGCTCAATCTGGAGTATCTAATTTCAACTTTCCTCCTACGTCACAAAACGTCATAAATTGACCGACATACCGACATCCTAAAATTTTGCTCGAGTCAAGAAAATGAGAGCTGCCTCGCTTCGCTCGCAACAAGCGTTATCCACTTGTCAAATGTGTCCATCAAACGCCTCAAATCCATAAGGCATAAAAAATTGACAGTATACTGCATATCAAAATCTATATAAAGCGTCTCTATTTTTGTATTGATAGCAAATGTCTCCTGTCCTACCCCACCCTAGTGACATACTTCCACATAGCATCCAAAATCTGAGTGCCAACCAAAATCTGAGTGCCATCCAAAATCTGAGTGCCCCTGAGTATCAGGTTGGACCTAACCAGGAGTATGGCCCTCAGACAGTGGCCCTGCTAGCAATCTAGAGATGATACACCTTGTACGCCCATCCCAGCCTAGTTCTTGTTGTTCGGAAGCTTTCGCCACTGGGATGCGAATGCGCATGAAATCACCACTCAAGTGCTGCAACACAGGCTACTGCTCTGTTGGGCCCGCTAGAAATTTTTCCACCCCTCCTTTAAAAAAAATGAAAATCTGCCATTGCTGAGCATGTATGTTGAACAGTAAGCTGGATGAATAAACTGCAAGAAAAAAACAAAATCAATTTTAACGTTACCGCAAATTAACTTTAAATATTCATAAACAGTAATAAAAAAACGTTAAAATACCAACGATTTAAGGAAAACTAGGGCCGCCAACTGGGGAGGAGGGTGTGGCCAAACTCGTGAAGAACATGACATTGCCTTAGACAATTGTCTGAAACGTCTTTACAACCGAGGTTTTCGACTGAATGAAACCAAATGTCAATTTCTAAGCACATCCTTAGATTTCTTCGGACAAGGGTTCTCGGAAGCAGGTATTCAACCCGATCCTAAACGAGTGACAGACTTACTCAATGCACCTAGACCACAGAATGTACATGAAGTTAGAAGCCTTCTCGGGATGGAAAATTACAGCAGCAAATACATTGAAAACTTTGCTACTATAACCACCCCCACTAAGAAAAACACAAAGTTCGAATGGAATGAAAATCATCAAAAAGCGTTTGATCAGTTGACTAATGCATTGACGTCTGCCCAGTGCATGGCGTATTTTGAATGCCAGAACCTTTGGGTAAAACGAAGATGCCCGAGGGACCATGGGAAGTATTACATACTGACTTCTATGGACCATTACCAATAGGAGAATATTTGCTCGTAGTAATCGACAGATATTCCAGATTTCCAGTAGTTGAAATTGTAAGATCAACAAAAGCCTCTACCATGATTCCAAAGTTGGATAAAATATTTGCAACGCATGGCCTTCCAACAGTAATTAAATCGGACAATGGTCCACCGTATAATAGCCAAGAGTATAGAAGATATTTAGAAGCCCTTGGCATTAGACCTGAATTTTCCACACCATACTGGCCGCAAGGAAATGCGGAAGCCGAGCGGTTTATGCAACCTCTGGGAAAGGCACTGAAAACTGCACAAATTCAAGGATGCCCTTGGCAGCAAGAGCTTAATCGGTTCTCGTTACAGTACCGAACTGCCCCACATTCAACAACTGGTGTCTCACCTTCATAGTTACTGTTCAATCGTACAGTTAAAGGGAAATTACCTATCTTGAACAAACGTAACGTAATGAACAAACCTAAACAAATGTGAAAATGACGCATTAAAACAACAATACAAGAAACAATATGCTGACAACAGACGCAACGCAAAACATAGGGACATTAAGGTTGGTGACAGTGTATTAGTACGACAAAAACGAAGTAACAAACTTTCAACAAACTTCAACAGTAAACCTTATACTGTAATTATAAAAAACAACTCCGGAATTACAGTACGCGACAGCAACGGACATACCATTACTAGAAATGTATCACATTTCAAACGCATACCAAACCAACAGAACGTTGAAACTGACACGGATGACGAAAACAACGACGACGACGACGAAAGAACCAGCAACGAAGAAGTTCACAGATCGAGTCGTGAAAGAAAAATGCCAGAACGTTATGGACATGCCATCACCTGGACTTTGCATGCTTGAACTTCAAAAAGGGGAAGTGATGTAGTAATTAGACATTTAGTAAAATGACACTGTACAACACCATATAAGGAATATAGACATTTAGATATTAGAGATTATTAGAGATATACTTAGCACTTAGTCTGGGAAGCAACATTGTAACACTGCGTATAGATCAATAAAGTTATAGAATATTACAATAATAACTATATTATCCTAGTATTATAGTGTGGTTAATATTACTTGCGGGGATTCAAAATATGATACGGCATGTTGAAACACGTACAGCATATGGTTATCTGCAAAACATTCACTGGACGAATAAAGCTCTTATACATTTGTGGGCATCACTATATTAAAGCATGTTTAAGACAATATTCAAACAATAAAATTTATGACTTGGATTATTTTTGAACCGACTGTAAGGAGGGCATGTAGTTGCGGGTGACAGGCTATATTTATATATATCCTTTGTTCCGACAAGTATGTTTTCCTTAACAAAGCATTGAAAAACAGAACAGTCTCACATTCAATTTTATCCTACAGTTATCTATACAAGACTATAATTAAATATAATAAAAGATATCAGTCAAGTTGGGGAATTAACACATCATAGTATGAAATTGCAATGTTCCTATGTTAATAATTCATTGTTGAGAGTTAAACTTTCAGCTCGTAATATGATCAACAGGATAATTATAATATAAAGTGTAAGTTGACAAGTATATTGATTGATGAGAACCTTCTGCGACTATATCAAGCTTAAATCTTAATGAATCGGAAATGGACTTGACAGATCTAAATATCAAATGTCATACTTGAAATGTTTTGCCCAAGGCTATAGTTTAATACAGCTATCTCATTGGATAGAATCAGTAAACCTTTCCAATAGAATGATTTCTATTGGCTGGGCTTGGAAAAGGTTTCCCAAACATAAAAGATTCAGAGTTCTCGACACATGATTGGTCCTTACAGGAATGGCTTTCTCACAGTCTAAGCATATGCCCAATTTGTCTGGTTTAATTGGGCAGGTAGGTTGTTTTATATTGCGAGGGGTTGGGACATATAAACAGATTGTCAATTTATCAAATTGTCAATTATAAATTGTCAATGTCCGTCCGATAGTTTGTTGTATTTTATATATTTGTCAGCATTGTTTGCTGAGTGTCCAAACACTAGAATTTTATCTTGATTTTCTTAAACTTTGATACAGCACAAAATTAAACTCAACAGAGTGTATTACAAGTCTTTCTTACTTTTGTATGACCCGAAGGAAATCTTGATCTGGAATTCTCTGAATTTAAATTATTTGTGTTGTTATTTTAAACGCATGCTAATTATCAATTAACCAATGAAATAGCTTCATTTGTCTTGCGCACTTCGTCGAGAGTAACGGCTGTACAGACGCTATGACTTCTAAGCTTCACAATAATTGTCCTTGATTTCTTGTCATGTTTTCTCCCCACACGGTGAGCTCAATCGATTTCCTGCTCATTTAAATGCACACCAAGTTCATTTTTACAGAAGTCGACCACAGATTTAGTGCAATTTTCGACCATGGCCAAAAATCACTGTTAGTATCAGGGGATTCCATGCCAAATATGCGAATGTTGGACCTTCGAGAATATTGCTCGTTATCATTTGGCTTTTGTTTAACTGCCTCTAATTGTTCTTCGAGGTTTTTAATTCTTTGTTTCAATGGTTGAACTGCTTTGTTTATCATCACGGCTGGATACCCAGATATTTTGTTTTTCATGAAGTGTACTAAATTTCTGTTAATTGAAACATAAAAAATACTAAAAATTAATTAACAACTCACAGCATTTGGCGCCAAAAGCTGTACTAAATCCCATCGCTCAAAAACTTTCGGAAGTTTTTGGAAACATGTGAACAGTGGAAAAAGTTAAAAACAGATTTTTAGTCTTCTGGACTAACACATGGATGAGAAAAATCCTGATCCCTAAGCCAACAGCGCAGAGCACTGTTCCAGGCATAAGCCCAGGGTGAGGGTACTAGTTCCCACTTGGCTATTTACACGCGGGGAAACGAAAGCATTAGCGAAGTCTAAAGTTCATCAATGATCGTGGGCGTGACCAACGGTGTCAAGTGGGTGGTCATCCTCACTGATCTCAAAATATGCGTCGGACTGTCATGAATAGCGAACACTGATTGGTCAAATTTAAAATTTGTTGTTGTATGACAAATGACGCCAGCGAAATAACAAACATTTCTTGCAAATATATTTTGTTTTTGCCTCGGTTTTTGCAACATTTTGCAAATTTCAAAACCTTTTTGAGAGCCAAAAACTGTCTGCAAACATCTAAAAGAATGGAGCAAAGATGCTGGCATTAATGAAGGTAAGTTTGTTTTTAATTTGATGTGTTGTTTGCTTTTAGTTTTAAGAACATTTTAAAACCTTTTGTGAAGCTTTTGTGGTTGAATTTTACATTAAATTGAAGCTTATATGACGTATAATAACATACGTGGCATATATATGTTTGGGAAATTGATAATTTTGTAATTAAAAGTGATATTTTGGGCGCATTTTTCAATTTTCAAACTATTCTTATAATATTGTGTAACCATGACAATACTTCATGTTTGGAATTCAGCAAGGTGAGGGTTTCTGCATGCATGTATTTTCTTGTAATATATGTTATATGTCAAGTATTCAAATTGATAAAATATCCAGTATCCGGCCAGATTTTTTAAAAATGTCCTGCAAATCCGGTATCCCGCCGGATAGTATAAACCACTATCTGGTGCACCCTTAGTGCTGCAACAGATTCCCAAAGTTTGTCAATTCCAGATATTTGAGGGACCAATATCTCCCGTTCAGTTGTACCATTAAATTTGAAATAAGAACTAAAGTCTAGATAGAGATAACAAGATGCTTGTCTAAAAAGTCAAAAATCATTTTGTAGTCAAATAAAGACGAAATGTTTGCAGAAGAAGTAGCAAAAGATGATAAAACCAACAAAATTCAACCTAACAAGAGTTGAACCTCTGGGTGTAATACAGTATATGTTATTACCATATTGTAAAACAACTTCATCTAGATAGCTTCTTCTAAAGCCAAACTTTCATGTGTGCTCTGACCACCTGTAGTGTCCCAACCTCGCATCCAGGGCTAGCCGAGACTCCAAGATTCTTGGAGTATTAGCCTGCGAGCGGGCTTTGTGGAAATAAAGAATGAATAGAACTTGAATTGCTGTGGATTATTTATATTCTTTTATTTTTTGTTGTAATCTTTCTTTTTAATATGTTACGTTTATATATTACGTCAAATGTACATCAATCTTCTTTCATATCGCATCACATAAATCTCCGAGGATGCGATGTTTCGACTTTTGAAGGACAATGGAGCCAACATTGTACGTACTATTTGTGATGATTTTCATCAAGTAAATGGTACAGTATAAATTTGAAAATGTCTAGAAGTATTTTATTGTTACAAATTATTTAGCAGATTTCCATGTGTTAACACGTGCACATGCAATGGTGGCAGTGTGGTTGCCTTTAATTATTTGTTACACTGACTAGGTCTATGAAATATATATTTCGAAGGCTATTATATTTTATAGAGTATGTTAATATAGTTAGCTTAATTTGTAGTTTAAATATTGAGAAACACATGGCCAGACTATGGCCTATAATACTATACTCAGACTCTCAGTAAAGTTCTACTCTCACATGATTATTATTTATACTATTGATTTATTGCTGTGAGAAACATGTTTACACTTACAGTACTACTAAACTACAGTTTACAGCAGTATTAACTTCAAATACTTTATAATAGTTTTGTTTGTGGAACACACCACATAAATTTAGGGACCGTTCATTTTTTACCAGGAGGGGTGGCTGGTGGTTTTTGCAGGATGCCATCAGAAAAAATAGTGATGTGAAGGGGGGGGGGTCACCTCAGGAAATTAAATTTTGAGGGGGGCACCAAAACATCAATGAATACATAATATATAAAAATCAAAGCAATAACCTATTTACCTGGAACATGATAACATTCAGTTATTTGGCAGTTAAAAAGTGAAGCCTTGTGTGCATGCGCAATACGAGTATGAGCAGTGGCGTCAGCTCTCCATGATCACGCCAAATAGTACATCAGTTCCAGTTCCTTTATACGCCATCATCCCGTGGTCCATCGCCACGCCATATAGTATGTCAGTTTGTTCGGAGCAATGGGTGATTCTAGCTACAGACAAAATTTTGATCAAGTCACACCGGCCAACACCGCAGCTAGAAAGAGCATCGAATTAAGAAAATATAGCCCTGTGAAGTTCGCAAATTTTGTATATATTTGTATTACGCGTGGTAAAAATATAATCACTTTCTGCTCAAAAATGGTTATATATACCAAATTTGTGAATTTCGCAGGGCTGTATTTTCCTCATTTTACAACAATTCACAACCAAACTTTGCAATTTTACTAATTTGAAGATGCTCTTTCCAGTTATGGTAATGTTTTGTTCTTCTTGTCTAGATCAAAATTTCGTCTATAGCTGGAATCCTCCATTTGCCAATCACCATTGCA